GTTTTGTAGTAGATCGGTTAAGTTGACTTGTCAGTGAGTATAATATCGGGTATTAGATCACGGGATTTATTTAAATCGGACATCCAGGGACACGGGGAAAATGCGATCTTATTTATAGGATTTTCAAAATCCTATAAATAAAATCGCATTTTCCCGTGTCCCTGCTGACATCTAAAGATTTGAACCGGTTTATTTTTTATATGGAAACAATGGGTTTAGCATATTGAAATCGGTTTCGAACTCAACGATATCTATTTTGAATTTTGTTACTAAATTGAATAGCATTAAATTAATGATAAAGTTTGAATAAATTTTCTGGATGTATGAATTACAATAATATTGCTTATAACTCAATGATCTTTTTTTTTTTTAGTTCATTTTTGTCAAATTAAACGTTTGCCTAAAGATATTATTATGATTTATATTTATATTCTTGACAGAAATTAAGTGAGGTAAAAAAAAAAAAAAAAAGTAATGCTTTTTCGGTTGCAAAATGAATTATTAAAGTATTTTTTTCATCAGATAATATTAGCTTACGATTTTACACGATAAAATTAGATAGCAGAGAGGAGTATAAAAAAAACTGCGATGGTTTTTATTGTAGTTCTTTTAACGTTAAAATTAAATTATGGTTATTTTTTGCTTTGTTGGGTTATCTCTACTTAGTGCTCAACCTAATTCAAACAAGCACATGGTTGTGGAAGAGAGGTGAGAGAATGGGTAATGGTAATTATCTTCTATCAATTTAAATATTATTACATAAGAAGTATGGAATATATATGATTAAGAAAAGCATTGCAAAAAATTGCCTAAACCATCATTATATAAAGAAGTCAATCGCTCATATTCAATGATAACTTCTGGGTCAGTTCTTATATAAGTCAAATCAAATGAAGTAATATCCAGTGAATTCCAAGATGGGCCCTATTAAGTGCAACATATGTCTGACCATATGCAAACATTTGCTCATCTATAGCAATGGAAATATTTGATATGGTTAATTCTTGTGTTTTATGTACAGTGAGTGTAAAGGCATTTTGGAGGGAAAACTGATGTTGGTTTGCTGGTAAGCTATTTAAAAGAAAATGTTTAGTTATTCTTTTTACAGTTGCAGTAATCATTCTTAGTGGTGTAGAAAATATGACATTGACAGCGTCTTTATTGATTAATTTGATGACAATTCCAATAGATCTATTATAAAGACCATGCTCAAATAAGTTATTATCAAGATACATGATATGAGTATCTTTTTGCAAAATTAAAGTTGCAGGTAGATTTGTATGTTGGTGAATATTATGATCATTATCTACTGCATCCATTCTTGACTATTAATATAGTCAACAGCAGTTGAAATAACAGGGTCAGGATCTTCTGGTTCTTGAGGTAAGGTTAGACAAGCCAACTTATTTATATTGTCTGCCATGGCATGGAATCCAACTAAGTGCATAGTATCAGTAGGGAGAAAGTGATGATGGTGTTTTTATTTTATCATCAATTGTGTGTAATGTATTAGTTGATATAGTTCCAGTTTGAATTTCATTTAACAAACCATAAAACATCATATACTCATTTTGTCTGTGAGGAGTCATTAAAAATATCAGAAAAAATTCTAACAAACAGGAGATCGAAATACTTGGGAACTACTTACAGGAGGCAGTTGTTCAAGATCACTAATTAGTAAGATTTTAATTCCACCAAATAGCAAAGTATTATTGTGCAGACTAGCAAAGAGATTACTAATAAATATCAGTAAACTAGCAGATACCATAGATATTTCGTCAATTATAATAACTTCAGTTTCTCAAAGAAGATAGTGTTATTCCTGGTCATTTAAGACTAAACTCATATAATTAATATTAAATGGGTGTATTTTTAGTTGCGAATAAATCATTTTACCATTGATATTTTGGGCAGCAACACCTGTTGGAGCCATCAATAAATACTTTTTACAATGCGATAGGAGGTGATTTATGATCAAAGTTATTAAATATGATTTTCCAGTTCCTGCCGAGCCAGTTAAGAAAAAATATGGGTGACCATGTTTACCTACATGTCTCCACGCTGAAGTTAATACATTGAATACTGCATATTGATCAGTTTGTGTTTCTAGTAACGAATATTGAGAAATCAAAGGTGGAGAACACATTAAAGTATTAAGTTGATTACTTATAATGGTTGCAATATCCTATTGCATACTATGTATTATTTTATCTATTTGTAGCTAGTAATTATAAGAAAATCTAGTAAACCTCACTGATGTACTCTGATTAATGTTTTGTATAACTTGATCAAATTGTACAAGAAATCGTGAATGAAAATGGTCTCGATAGCTTGAATATGAACCTAATAATTCACTTTCATTTCTACAAGATAAATTAAGTAGAAGTTGTTGATAAAAAAAAGATTCTCCATCTTCTACTGAAAAAAATTAAAATCATACCAGAATTGCCTTTTTTCTTTTATTTACAAATTTACCCTGCTGATCTATCCAATAGTTAATATTTGAATTCGGATGATTTGGTATTATTTTATAATTTTGATGATAATTTGGATACATAATATTATCAAAGTGCGAATCGATTGGTCTAAAAAAATAGTTGTCAATAGCGTCTGCCCAGTATAAATTAGAATTTTCACTGTTTAATAAGTGAATTGGCTTTACACATTTTGATCGTATATTGGATAGTGTAGTTGATAAATAATTTGTAGCAATAGTGGAATAACAAATAGAGTATCCAATCAAGAGAATCATCAATTCCATCACACCAAGACATCTGGCTAAGATATGAGAATGATAAGTGTCATATTCAATTAGCTTAAATAGATCATAACTTTTGGGTTTGGTAATATACTTGGTCATATACTTTGCAAAGGATTTAGAAGAGACGTATTAAAAATTACAATACCCTTGCCACAACAATAAAGTAGGCACATGATAGGGGACAACCCATCAATCCGCTTTCATGGTCTGTTGATTAGTATAACGCAATAAAGTAGGATTATAATAAGTATGATTTGATAGTGGTGCTGGAAACTTTTTTCTGCATTGTTCTCCAGGAAGAGATGGTTTACCACATTTATTAGAGGAACATTGATAAATTTGATGAGTATGAACTAGTTCATAAAGAACTGGTTCTATTTGGGAATCAGGCAGGTTAGTACGAATAATGTTGTGATTTATTAAATTTAGAAGTGGCATATTGAGATAAGCTATGCCATGAGTATATATACTACCATGATTCTGAAATTCATTATGCTCATAATAATGTAGCTATTTACCCATTTAGATAAATTTTTATTTTTCTATAACAAATTTTGAACAGAATTTAGTCTCTGATAGTAATAAAAATAAGTATGCAGAGGGCGATTTGATAGTAAAATGCAACAGTTATCAGTACATGATAGAATTTTTAACAAGTGTGGCCAAAGCCCTTCGGCCATAGTCATAGTATAGAAAATTTGAGATAGACCAAAACTTTGAACTATTGCATTTACGAAATATTGACATTGACAAAAATAAGTATCACTAGTTTGAATAAAAGAAGAGAGTGTGGTAGTTAATAATTTATTAATAATCAGATAACTATTATAAATACTTTGATTAATCAAATTAGCAAAAGTCGGAAGGTGCAGAGTTTTATATCCCATAGATGTAAATTACATAGTCTGTTTTGATAATTTTGTAGCTTTTCTAAATTAATATAGGACCAATATGGCCAATACCAATAGAGACAGAATCAAAGATCTGAATATAATAGTCGAAGTTTAATATATTTTGCATATTTATCGATATAGTTATAACAATTATTTAACTCTCTAGAGATTTCTCACCAATAGCCATGCCTATCTGAAAAGAGATCAGAAAAAAGTATAGCCTCTAAATTGGGATCATGATATGGAATTGGTAATTCTATATTATTAGAGTCTATAGTCAACTCTGTCTATTCTGAACTACCTGTTCTTTAATATTTAGTTTAGTTCTCAAAGAGGTATTATATGCTAATCTGAACTTTATAATAAAATTTATAAATGTCTTAGAGTTTTAGATTCAGATTAAAAAGAGTTCAGATTAGAGAGATTCGAATTAGAGAGAGTTAACTGTATTAAGAAACCTGCTAACAGCCTACTATAATGAAAATCTTCATTATGAATTTCTGGATCAAAATCATATGGTGGTATAACTATATCCAAAAGATGTTGTAATGGTGTGGCATTAGGTAATATATTTTTCTCATCAATAACTTGTGCAGTAGGAAAAACGTTCAGGAGACATGTAAAAATAACGGACTAAAATATTCTATTAAATTATTTAAAGAATCTATTATTGAATTTCAGCCAGTTAGCCGCAGGTAGCAGAGATGGATAAAACCAATTGTTATCAGGTATAGAATCTAAGATTGCACCCAACATTTTAGAGTAAATCTGTAACACATGAATATTTTTGAGAGACCAAAAGCATCGGTAAGATGGTGATAGTGTGTAAAATGATTCGCATTTTCAGCACAACTGAAGAACGACTTAAATGAATTGGAGAAAGCCAATAGCAATAAAACATTAGAATATTTACCAGAGCATTTGGAATTGGAGCAAGCTTTGGAGTGCTGTGATGTTTAGGGATAGTTATACAAGAGTTATACACAGCGATATAATCTTCTTTATTAGGATATTTAGTAAGTGACAAATGCGAAAAAGCATGACAAAGGTCATATTCCATACTGTTATTGTGCAAGACCCATTTTGCTTGAGCAAAAAATATAAGAATTGAGCAATACGAGCAAGGAATACACAGAAACATATATAAAATTTCAGTTTGAAATTGGTGATTAAGAGAAAGTAAAGAAAGAGAAGAATACTATAGTGAAAAAAAAGTTAAGTTAGATGTTGATTGAGGTTGATTTTCTGGTAAAACAGTAGGTGCACTCAGATGGTTAGTATTAATATTTATTCAGAACTGCTAGCCCAAAAGATCATCATTATATAAATCATAGTAAAGATTATCTTGATCTAAATTAACTATAGATATTTGGATTACTAGAAGGGACATTGTATGTGTTTAACAAAGGGCAATATTAGAATTATTTTTTATTTAATATAGCAGAGTAAATACGATTTATTGACAGTGGAGGATAGTATTCTTTAATGCCCTTTTATAACTTTTAGGCAATCGCTAAATTTAGGCTAAAGATAACAAATTAATAATCATCAAATATAATAGCCATACTATGCAGAGACAATTAAAAGTGTATGCAAATATTTTGATTTCTTTAAAAAAAGAGTTTTTTAAATAATTTATTAATAACATATTAATGATATTGATTGTGAGCATGAATATTTTATTAAATATGCATTTTTATTT